GTTTGCAAGGACATGGAGGCAGTGGGAGGGACAGAAACCACCTGGGGAAGGTTGTCCAACCCATGGAAGGTCAAGGAGCTGTGTGGGAAAGGAGCAGTTTGGGGAGGGGTTGGTAGGGAAAGGCAAGGGGGACACTGGAACTCTCAGCTCTCCATTTGGGGAGCTGCAGAGCTCCTGGTGATAAATGGCACAGGCAGCAGAGTTTGGATTGGTCCTTTTTCCTGTTTAGAAGAAAAGAGTCAGGGAGAAAACAGGGTGGGTGACCTTCAGTGGGAAGGCTGGGGAACACATTGTAAATGTTCTTTTTATCTTGTTGCAGGACTCTGTTTTTTCGAAAGAACTCCTCGTTCACATGTATATTACTTCGATGATGGTAAGCAAAGTCTTTTTCTGCTTCCACTTGCACAACTTTTACCTGGTTTGGGTAAGGCGGAATCTCCCAGGATAAAACAAACCACCAAGACTGTTGTGTTCCCCAAGACACAACGACTGCCCAAATTCCATCTTGCTTCCACAATATTCACACCAGTGTTTCACACTCTCAGTTTAGGGCTGCCACTGAACTCCCAGTTCAGTAGTGACATCTTTGCACTCTTTCTGGTTTTCAGGTGTCGAGCTTTCTGGTTTACCAACAACAAAATTAGACGCAGTGAACACAGAAGTTAAACAACACTATTGGATTTTCTCTGAGTTGCTTCCTGACCTGCGGGTCATGTTCTTAAACACCATCACAGCTGTTATGAGAGACAGAAACCTCTTTCAAGAGCTCAGCCAGAACGTAAGTAAAGCTTCTCCCAGTGCCAGGATTTACAAACACACAGACATCCACCATCACACCTCTTGCCCCACAAGGCACCTGTGCCACAACAGTCCCTCCAAAATTCCCACACTCAGCACATCTCTCTGCTCTGCACTAGCAGAAGCCTCTGCCCTCAAATCCTCACTTTTCTTTTCCTTGTTCTCCAGATGGAAGGAGTTCTTGAGAAAACTGATGGTTATGAGCTGAAAACTGAAAGCCCAGATTTAAAAGACCTGTTCAGCACCTTAAAGAATTCTCCAAGGGATCGTCGTCTTCTGCTGGCAAAGGGAATAACCTACACCCTCGATGCTTTGGCTGGTGAGGCTTTGGGTCTTTAATAGTAGGGAAATAAAGGCAGGGCTGACTCCCAGGCTGGCCAGGCCCTCCTGCTCCTCTTCCTCCCCAAGTGGAATCTGCATCTAAATCCCATGCAGGGCAGAGCAGAGAACCCCCCATGATACCCCTCCAGGCTTCTCTGCTCCCTCCAAGTGCATTCACAGCTTCCTCCCAAGGGGCTGCTCCGATCTCTGCTCTGTGACCTGTGACAGGACCCAGGGAAGGGCTGGAGCTGTGCCAGGGCAGGGTCAGGTTGGATCTCAGGGGAAGGTTCTTCCTCCAGAGGGTGGTTGGCACTGAACAGGCTCCCCAGGGCAGTGGGCACGGCACCAAGGCTGCCAGAGCTCCAGGAGTGTTTGGACAACACTCTCAGGGACAGGTTGGGATTGTTGAGGTGTCCTGGGAAGGGCCAGGGATCAGACTCCATGATCCTTGGGAGTCCCTCCCAGCTCACGAGATTTCATGATTCTGTAAGAAACAGACACATCCCTCTCACAGCACAAATCATTTGGAATAAAACAGGCAAAGAGCTTTGGAACAAACAGGTAATGTTTGTTCATATAAGAAATTGTTTCCTACAAGAAATGATCACCCTTCTCATCCTGCTCACCCTGCCCATCCCACCAGCTCTCTCCAACACCTGGCTGGCAGGTTTCTGATCAGAGCTGGTTTCATTCTGCAGAGCTACTGGACCATCAGCTGCTGCTGCTGCTGGAATCCTTAGAAAGGAAGATTGTGTCCCAACAGCTGCAGCTGGTGAGTACCCACATCACACCTGGCTCCTTTGAAGGGGTAACAGGGGTATTTTAATTAAAGCACTGTGTCCATGATGACATCACAATTTGACACTTGTTAAATCACTGATTTGCTTCTTTTGTGGTTGCTCTGAAGGTTGGAAAACTCCTGGAGTATAAGCAGAAGAAGGTGGATATGCCTTTCCATGTGGATGCCAGCCTGCTCTCCTTCCTACCGCAGGAGGATCAGAGCTTAACCATGGCCCTGGTGGAGCTGAGCAGAGTGAAGCTCCAGGAAGATGGATCAGCTGTGCCCATGGAACGGCCCTTCGAGGTTGTGGCTGCCCTGTACGTGGCCCTGTACACCCTCAGCCTCCTCAGTGGCCCCAAGTAGGCACCTGGCCCTGCCCAGGAAATCCCTCCCCAAGCTGCTGGGAAACCTCTGCCCACCAGCCACTTCTCTCCCCAAGTGTCATCCTTGTTAATGCTCAAGGCTGCTTTGGCTGAGAAAAGCAAACTTAAGGCAGGAAACCTCATTATGGATGCAAAAGGCTGGATATCAAAGTGGATTTCTCTGGTTGTCCCCCACTGAAAGCAGAGGGAGAACGAGAAAATCCACGAGCCCAAATAATCACAGGCCTGGCAGCTGTGCCTCATGTGCTTCCCTAAAAACGCTGCTGCTTCTGCAATCAATGAATGGGAAAGGGAAGGGCAAGGGAATGCAAAGGGAAAGGGGAAAAAAACTGCAATGGAAACAAAAGCCAAAGGAAAAGACCTGCAGTGAACTACTTACCCTGGTTCCCCCTGGGGGTCCTGGGGGGGTCCATGAGCTGCTAGTGGCACAAATTGGGGGGATCCCAGGGCTTTCACCTTCCCTTCCCTGCTCCCAGCACTGCCATTGCCCACAGGCTGCTCCAGGTTCACGGGGCAGTGCTTCAGATACCATTTAAATACTCTCATTATCGCTTTATAAATAAAGAGGAGCTTCTTGCTGAGCAACCCAGTATTCTGGAAGGCAGCTTCTTTCTTCCCGTGTGTTTTCGGTCCCACAGCACATCCAGCAACCTTGGGGGTGAGGCTGTCACAGAAATAAGGGCACGTAGCCAATTCCTAATGCACCCCTACTCCATGGATACAATGAGATAGGAAGGCAAAGAATTACTGACCAACACCAACCTTCTCCCATGCACTGACAGAACAGCCTCCCTAGAGCAGATGTTGGTGGCTCTGCAGGGATCAGTGTCAGTCCAC